AGCAACTTTTTGTCTACTCAAATTTGGCATGTTCTAGTTTTTTCTTCCCTAGTTGGAATTGTTATCAAGATTTATTTGTTTTGGGTTGAACATCTGCCCTGCACTCATTTTATTCAAGAGTATTAGTTTCAATGTTGTTCTTAAATTGTCCAATTTGTGTTACTTCAATCACATATTTTAATAATTTATGAAAGGATTGAAACTAAGAGTTTTGAATGATTCTGGTGGTGGTTATGTCTAACCTATTTAGCTTGTTGTGTTTGTTTAGTACGTATATATGTTCTTCTTGTTCATTTCCGGATTGCTTAGATTAACTAGCCTCTGAAATAATTGAACCTCTCTTATCAAAGACATATTCAGTAGCCCAATTGAATGCTCGGTTCAAGGATTCTTGGCGGAGTAATGTGCTTTGGGAGATGTTCTAAGCCTTAGTGCTAGCGGTTGGTTTGAACTCAAAAATGGTGTTTGAAAACTGATTTTGTTTATGCTTGGATTAGACGAATTTAGGATGGCCACCTAAAATCTAATTCCAAATTGATAGTTTTGATGTCTTAAGTACGTTAATAGCTGAGATTTTCAAAACACAAGTGTCACCCGATTAATACTTAATTGGCTCCCATCCGGTTTTTATTAATTGGAGTTTTCAAACTGGCTATGTTAAATAGATATAGTCTACTGCATAGTTGTTAAGTGATGTTTTCCAAAGAACTTAATGCTCTATTTTTAATTAAATCTGGGGGCAGGCCCTTGGGTTGTTAAGAATAGTAAGGTCTAGAGTTAGGGCATGACTTAACATAGGCTATACTAGGGAGAATAGGGAAGAACCGCAGGTGGATTTCTTCTTCAACTTAACCCAAGAGTTTTGTCAATCGTTTTAATTTGGAGTAGTCTTAGTTAATTTGAGAATCTGGATTTGATCAATTTGTTTTCCAAAACTATAAAGTATTTTTAAAAATCAGTTGAAGTTAATTACTATCGTTGGAGTTTTTATAAAGTTTAAGTGTTTGTCTTTGTGTCGGTGTGTTCCTCATGTGTCTCCTTTCAAGGTTCAAGTTGATGCTCTGGTTGTGTTTTCTTTGCCCATTTTATCCTTTCTATTTATCTTTATCTTTCCAATTTATCTTTTAAAACCCCCCCCAAATAGTTAGTTCTTTTATTAGTTGTTTTTTTTTTAAAATGGAAAAAAACGTAAAACTTAAGTGATTTTCAAAACTAAAGAATATCTTTCTCCGTGGGATCGACTCTTACTTACCCTAGCTATAAAATATAAGTTTTAAATTTAAAAAGGGATAAGGAAAAAGAATTAATTTGTAGGCACTACGACACGCCTAACACAAGCTCCGAGGTGTTGGTTTGCCAAGCTGTCTAGAGCTTTGAGACGCTATGGGTTTGTCCAGTCTGTTCCTGATTACTCCTTATTTTCTTTCGTTGGAAAGAAAGGAGTCATACATGTTTTGATTTATGTTGATGATTTGATTATTTCTGGAGATAATTCAGATATGGTGAGCAAGTTCAAGGCATATCTAGGGGATTGCTTTCATATGAAAGACTTGGGGACGCTGAAATACTTTCTTGGCATTGAGGTGGCGAGGAGCACGTCTGGGATATTTCTCTGCCAATGAAAGTATGCTTTGGATATCATTACTGAAGCCAGATTGTTAGGTGCCAGGCCGTTAGGTGCACCCATGGAGCCAAATCATCATTTGGCTCGTTCCCAAGCTCCCCTTCTGACAGATCCGGAACCATATCGCCGTTTGGTGGGACGGTTAGTATATTTATCTGTTACACAACCGGAGCTTTCTTATGCAGTACACACTTTAGCACAATTTCTGAAGGAACCTAGGGAGGATCACTAGTCTGAAGCACTTGGAGTGGTTTGTTATTTGAAGGGATGTCCTGGGCAGGGTATTTTCCTGTCTGCAGATAATAATCTTCAGCTCACAAGATGGTGTGATTCGGACTGGGCAGCATGTCCCTTGACACGACGATCGCTGACAGGCTGGTTTGTGCAACTTGGGAACTCACCTGTTTCGTGGAAGACAAAGAAGCAAACGACGGTGGCTCGTTCGTCTGCTGAGGCTGAGTATAGGGCTCTTTCTGTCCTTACGTGTGAGTTGAAATGGTTGAAGAATTTGTTGCGATGTCTAGGAGTTGAACATAAGAACCCTATGACTGTTCGTTGTGACAGCACTGCAGCTCTCCATATTGCTGCTAATCCAGTTTTCACGAACGCACGAAACATATTGAGATTGATTGTCACTTCGTTCGTGATGAACTTTTACGAGGAGAGATTCGCGCGTTGCATGTCCCTACTACGCATCAGCTCGCAGATATTCATACGAAGGCTCTTGGGAAGTCACGACTGGAGTTTCTCATTCCCAAGTTGGGCATTTCAGCATTACATGCTCCAACTTGAGGGGGGTGTAAAAGGAAAGAAAATAGAAAGAGAATATTTGGAATATATTTTCGTGTATATTAGTTTTGGTAGTTTCCTTGTATTGGTAGTTTACTTATATAGGGATTCCCTTTCCTTGTTTAGTTAGGATTCTCGGCTTGTGAGAATCTATATATACGGGCCTTGGTTGTAAATTGTGATCATCAGAAATACAAGAGAGATTTCTCCCAAATAATTCTTTCATTCCTTTCAGTGTTGTTGTCCACTTCTAAAACCATAGTAGTGACAAAGCTATTCACCTAAGATTTGAAATATATATTTGTTTCGAGGGCATTGGTGTATAAATAACAAAAAAATGAGGGGCAACAACATAAGTTTTGAAACCAAGTAGGGGTAATACATTTATCAAACCACAGAGATTATTAGTGGAATAAACTTATAAAAATTTAGAAAAAAACTAAGAATATACTAAGTTTGTACCCCAACTTACACATCAAATGTATCACAAATACATGCAGACAATAATTATCTATGTACTGTATTGATACAATACTTAGTTAAGTTGTGGAAGACAAAGGCTAGAAAGGGTAGTTCCTTTAAGTGTTTATGCATGTTATTGTCTTTTTGTTCTTGTTCTATATTGACCATTTGAGTAGTGTGCAATTCCCAAACTCTCAACCTGAGCCTTGTTGAAATTTTTTCAAAAATGACCGTTTTAGTCTGGTTGTTTGTCTTTGATTTAGGATGTTTAGTTGTCTTTCTAGGATCTCGGGCGCTACCAATTCTTCTAAAACCAATTGGTGTTAGACGAGGCGCATACCCTAGTCTTATAGTGCATTGAACATACAAGAGCCCATGACATTCGATTGTGACTTGGGCCACATTGCCTTTGCCATGAGACAATTGATGCACACATGGCCAATAATCTCCCCCTCAGCGATTTCTCTGCTGGGAATCGAACTTGTGACCTTGGCTCCGATACCACTTGTAGGACCTCAAGTGCTACCAACTCTTCTAAAACCAATTAGTCTTAGAAAATGTGCATACCCTATCCTTATAGTGCATTCAATACACAAGCACCAACGACTTTGCCCAAATAACCTCTATCACGGGAATATTGATTCACACATGGCCAACAATCTTTAGTGATGATGAATGCCCTTAAAACCAACCTTTAGGGTGGAGTAAGTAGGTCCTCACCCAATCTATTCTTTTTAGCTGTCTTTTGAAACACTTAAGCTTATGAGTATGTGGAAAATACCTTTTGGACTTGGAATTGGTTGGGCGGAACCTATGTTCCCTTATGCATAGATCCTAACAAGGAAAAAAAAGTGCGTATGGAGCAAAGTCCAATCGAAAGGGTGAACCCCTTAAGTGGGCCGTATCAATTCCCATAACACTCCACATATTTTCATACTTGAGTATCTCTTTTCATGAAAGAGGATTCCATCATAAGACCTGCCCAGCTACCAAAATTTCAAAACATTTTTATTTTTTGAGTGGATTGTGACAATGTGTGTTATAATATCATAAATAAGTTTTTTCTCTCTCGGAGGGAGGTCCACGGGGTATCTTGACTACCTGAAGTCCCAGGCTATTTAGAATGGGCCTAGGGTAGCTTGACCAAAAACCTGTTACATTGGAGTTAGAGAATTGTAGCTTGAGAGTCTAAAGGGGTAGTTTTGAATCAGTAAGGAAAATTGGGAATTCTAATTTCATTCATAAAGGTTGCGGGATGACATTCTCATAAAAGGGAAACTGACCATTCTAGGATCAAGGAAACAACCATCATCTTACAAATACCAAACCATGATTTTTAAAGCAAGTTGAATTGGGAAGGTGGGAAATTTTGCATTAGCTCAATTGGCTTTTATAGGCCGGTGAGGAGAACAAATGTGCAAAAGTGAGAAGTTGTGCTTTCTAAACATGTTCTATCTTACAACTTGGCCGAGGGCGGCCAGGAAATAAGGGTGGGAGATTTTGTTAGAATTATTTTAAGTCCTATTTCTCCTTAAGTTTATTAACCATTTTGGACTTTATTGGTGTCAATTTGGTTTGATTTAAGACCAATTGTGAACAACGATCATTTTTTGGTTGAATCTTTATTTTGGATCAATTTTGGAGTTTTTAGTGTTAAAACTATAGAATTGGGCCAATCTTATGCTCAGGCCCAAGTTAGCTCGTCTGGTTTAAGAAAAGAGGTCTGGCTGATTCCATTCGGTCGTTGAGTTTTCAGAGAACGAAAGAGAAAGAGAGAGGGAGGAGAGGCGAGTCTAGATTTATTCAGAGACAAAAAACCTCGGTAACTCATCGTTCTCCGACGAGTTAGACCTCGCAATCGTTATCACCCGACGCACAATCACCTTGCGATCCTCCTGATCATGCGCGTAAGCCAATCAGATGAATCATCATGTTCGTAGGACTTGATCCTCGAACGTTGTCTCAAGGTATATTTGTGTTTTAATTCTAAATCATTGTTTCAATTCAAGGATTCTTCTGTATTCTGTCGATATCTCAAGTTACTAGTTTATTTTTGTTGATATTCGAATTTTCATTTTAACTAGATTGCAGTTGCATGTCAGAGCCAATCCGAGTCTTAATGTGTTAGGACTAGATTTTCTTATGATTATGTGTACATTGTGTGAATTGAAGACCTCAAACATGCTCCAAGAGTAATTCCTTGTTTGGTGGAAATGGGAATTCAGTCCTGAGGCATGTGAAAACTTAGGCATGTGAAAACTTAAGTCCTGACTCCTGATCATCTGTTGTCTTTATTAAATGTTGTTAGGCTCATCCTAAAGTCGTGGATATATAGATAGGTTTTTATGTAATGCTCGTCAATCATAGGGATTACCTCAATGATGAAAGAAATCAGCCTCATGTCGAGAGGGCTGAGAATCCACATTTGTTCAAATGTTTGTCTCAATTTTGAATCTGAATCTTGTGCATGATCTGAGTGATTGATTCCAATTCTACAAAACAAGTTTTTTCATCCATAGTTGATACTCAAGAAACTCTGCATGTTTTCTACTCTCTAATCCACGCTCTGAATTTTTCTTCTCATAAAATCTGAAGAAATGTTTACTTACAGCATTTAGTGTTATGATTACTTGAACACCCCCCCCCCCTCCCCCCTCCCCCGCTTGAGTGTGTGTGTATTTATGGAGGCTTAATGGTTAACCAAATAGAAGACAAGTCTCCCTGTGGAAGAATGACCTTACCACTTTGCTACCATTTTGTAAGTGAGTAGGGACTTGGAATTTAGGTTAATTTGTTGACACTTGAGTAAGCAATAATGATCGTACAGATCAAACCTGACACACTGGGTGAGAGAGGGAATGCTTGCTAATATACATAGTATCACACTATCACCTTAACATTACTCATAATACAACATTACCAGGTGTCTCATAGGCTCCCGTCCGTTGCAAAGTAGGAAGGATGGGGGGTCAAGAATACACAATCTGACCCTTATGTTAAAACATAGAACGACTGTTTCCCGATGATCAATAATCAGTATCAAAAGTTGTTTTTACTAATTGTTACTCTACTATCAAAAGAAGCATAAATAGAGTTTAAAAACCATTTTTCTTTATTCAATTTTACTCTAAAGCTAAATAATAGTGAGTATTTGGTTCCATCAAAGAAAATGGAAGCATTACTCTTACCGAGTGATAAATACATGTATAAAAAAGATTTAATTTAAATTGTGAATAATAAGTGTAAACACTACATTGGGATATTGCAGTACAAATAACTTATGCCAAATGCATACATAGAAGCCACACCTCAAAAAAAACTAAAGTAAATGCTATTATTAGATCAAATCATAAATGAAACTTCACACATGTCAAAAAGCTGTCACTTCTCTTTGTAGATTTGAACAATTTCCATCCAAGATCTTCACTCTCCAACTTTTCTCTATCTAATCTCTTGCAACAATCCTGAACTTACCAGTTTGTTGTTGCTGCAAACATGCAAAACAGAAAGCACATTACTCTCAAATAAATCAAGAAAAAGCAAAAGTTGGTAAATATCAGGAAGCAAAAGATGAGACCTTTTTCCACAAATCAGTATGGGCTCTGCAGAATCCAGCAACTATGGCACCCTTAGTTCGTCCTTGGTTATACTCAATGCACAAATCTTGTTTCAAGCCACAAGTTACATGAAAGGCCAATGGGCAATTGAGCTCAGAGCAATCAAGAGCACACCCTTTTCTTGACTTGCACACATAGCACTTGTTATCCCATCTCCAATCAGGCACTTTACTGCAATCAATCCCTTCACGGCCATCCGGGTCGGTGAAGAACACCTCCGGGACAAAGAGGGCACAGACAAGGTGAGCCCATTTTCCATCACTGGTCGGCTTGAGAGCGCCCCCAGAAGCCGGACAGAGGGAGCAAGAAATCGGTTTTTCAGGTTTTTCCAGACATTGAGAGCAAAACCAATCACCTTCTGGCACACCCTTAGTTGAGAAGGGATGGCCGTAGCAGGTGGTGTGGACCATTAGATCGCAACCGTCACAGATAACTATGGGATCTGATGGGTCACCATCAGTGCTTCCGCATATGGCACACGCAATCCCATCGTCATCTTCCATACCTTGGTCAGGAATTGCAGACTTGCCCGGTTCTTGATTTTGTGAAAAGTACACTTCTTTTGATGACCTCTTCTCTGAAATCTCATCCTCGATTACTGGGTTGTACTGGACATTGAGATCCAGTGGCTGGATTGCCCAGACTCTTTTCTTGGCCGGAAGGCAACAGGTGGTGGAAGGAAGAGAATCGGGCTGCAGTGCTTTCCCTAATTTTCTCTTTTTTGCAGGAAGATTTGAGGAATCGGGACCATTTTCTTGGTGTTTTTGCATCAGAATGAACCTCTTGAGAGGTGGCAATCCTTGAAGCTTGCCGGCCATTTTCTCACTGTTGAAATGCAGAGATCGGGGAGGGGAGAGAGGCGATGGTAGATTTGATTTGAGGTCTGGATGAGATAAAGAACATAGATTATAGAGGGCTATTTTGAATTGAAATTCGAAATTTCTGTGAGGGGGGGACGCGGGAAAGACATTTTTGGGAATTTGGTTGGTAGGCAGCGCAGCCATGGAAGGAGGGAGGGAGAAGGAATGAATTGGGAGAAATTTCGGAATCCGTTCCATTTGTAGCGGGAAAGTATTTGGCTATTTTAACGGAAATTTGCCCCCCCCCCAAAAGAACGAGGAAATTAGGCCGGGTCATTTTTATACGGAAAAATTTTCGGAATCCTTCTAGCTAAAAGCACAAAACCACTAAAATCAAATTTGATAAACTTTGACTTTCAGTCAAATAAAAAGTGTATGGTATATTTGGATATAAATTACTTTATTAGATTTTTCTTGTTTTAAACTTTCAACATTTTATTTTATTATATATATTTTTTTGAATCATATTGACCAATGTTCTGAAAATCAAACCAGACATGAACTCGGACGAGGTACTGGTTCAAAGGTTGACCGGTCGAATCGGTCAATTGGGAGTCAACGACTCGGTCAACGATGTTTATATAAATAAAGGGCCTGTTTGAGAATGATATTAGAGAGCTATTTACGGGTAGTGTTTAGCGTTAGCGTTTTCAAAATAATCTGTACCGTTGAAATTCTATCCAAAACGTTAACACTAATTTCTAACGTTATTCGCAAACAGGTCCAAAATTTTATATTAGATATTTTAGTCAATAAAAATATTTTAACTTCTTCTTTTATTTTTCTATCTAGTTTTAATATCATTGTGCATATATTATTTCACACCTTCTATATTTTATTTTATAATTTTTATTATTATTCAAAACTAATAATGAATGTCTAATAAATTGTTTAATAATAAGGCGATACTCATATTTTTAAAAAGTAAAGACTAAACAATATATTCTTGTATACAATTGACATTTTAAACATTATATTTATTTGAATAAAATGATTGAACAAATAAAAAACGTAACATATTAAAATATAACTAGTCAATATTACTTGATTTTTAAATTAAAAATGAAATAATTTTTCAAGTATAGATTATATGAAGTATATTTATTTTTGAATTAAATTTAAATAATTCTCAATTTTTTGGAACTATTTTAAAAGTTCATAAAGTGAGTAAGATGGACAATGCAAAATTGTAGTTAGTTCGTTTTGTATGCGACATGTGTAAAACAATAAATATATAAATATATAATATTGATGCTTATGCATTACCATAAAAAAGTGTTTGGCTCACTTAGCTTACCACTACTGAGGTAGATAGGATGATGTTGGGTTCGAACCCCACTGGCATTTTAAATTTTACAACATTAAAATTTAATAAAAATTAGTTTTTTGCCCAAACGCGTGAACTGGCTGAATCGACTCGGGTCACCCGGTTCGCCGGGTTTGGGCGGGTCAATCACAAAACAGGTTTATCTATTAAACTGGACTAGATTCATGTCAGGATCACAGTCCAACCGGTTACATAGGCCGATTCGATCTGGTCCAAAATATTGCTATTGACCATTATAATGTACTCCCTCCGTCCGGAAAAGAAGTTCCCACTCTACGCTTTTCTTCGTCCGGAAATAAAGTTCCCATTATACGTTTTCATACTCATTCTTCCAAAAATACCCTTCCTACTCACTCACAAATCACAATCCTCTTCTCGGCTCTTTATCCCTCACCAGCCACTCTTTTTCTTTCTAATCTATCTTCTCATCCTTCATTCCTTCTGTCTCTCTCCCCCACCCGATCCCCTGTTCTTCTTCTTCTTCTCCCATTCTTCTTCTTCTCTCATTCTTCTTCTTATTCTCTACCAGAATCTTCCTTTTTTTCCATCCCTCCTCTTCCCCCCAAATTGACTCCTACTCCTTTTTTCTTTCCTTCTTTTCCCCCCTTTATTCCCTTGCTTGTCTTCTCAGATCTGCGAAGATTTGCGATTTATCTATGCAGATCTATGCTTTTAATATCATCATCATTTTCTTCTTCGTCTCATCTTTCTCTCCCTTACTTCTTTTTCTCTTTTTCCCAAGTCAAACGATGGTGGCAGCTTGGGGCGATGGTAGGGTGGGCGATGATGGCGGGGTTGCCGGCGATGGTGGCGGGGGTTGCTGGCGATGGTGGCAGGGGTTAGCGGTGATGCTGGGGTTGGATTGATGATGGCGGGTCGACGGTGATGATAGGTTGGGTGCGGCGGTGGGGCTGGTGGTAGTGGGAATTGGGGCGGCGATGGGGTGCGGTGGCGGTAATTCGAGTTGGGGCAGTTACAAGCCTTCAAGTGAGGGATTGGTGCCAAGGGCATTTTAGACCAATTATGCTTAGAGTCAACCCTTGTAAAAAATGAGGAAAAGTCAAATCGGGAACTTCTTTTCCGGACGGAGGGAGTAATATTTATTCATACTATCCTCAACCTAATGATGTGCACAAAGAGCTAATGCTTCAACTTTTGCTGGGGCTTGAACTTTGGTGAACTTCTCCATTAATCCTGGAGAGTGGGCTTGCTATCACTCAAATCAGTAGGGGAGAAGTTCATTTTATTATATTAATATGTAATATAAATTGAGAATAATTAATGCTCAAAGCTTGCCCAATTTGACTCGAAAAATTTAAACTAGACAAGTACACTATGACGGAGATAATATGTCTTTTAAGATTAGCTTGCATTTAAATTCTATCTTTTCTATTTTCAAGATTAATATTGTCAAATAACATAAATGGAATGAATTTAGTAAAATCTGGCGTGGAAATAACAACACCCTAAAATAGGATGGTGTTCTTCTTTTTTTAAAATAAAGAGCATGAGTTAGGCTTTTGGGTTATGTTCTCTTCCTGTGATTTGATTGATTTTCATTTAAATTTTTAAGGGCTCTTCTCATTTGATTTGAACTAAATTGATCTGATCTAATCATCTAAATCAAATTAATTTTAAAATTATTATAATAGTTTTTTTTAACATTGTTTGCTGCTATTTTAGAGTGTTCTTATTAGAATGTTGATTCTTAATTTATTAACTAATAATTATAAGCTCAAATATATGCAATAATTAACAGAAATAATAAAAACAATGAATCCAAATTAAAAAGAGTAATGACTGTTTTCTATTCATACAATAATGGACACTTAATAAGTCCAAATAATGAGAAAAATAAAAAAATATAATAAACATATATACAAAAAGTAGTAGTAGTAGTGATGATGATGATACTAATAATAATAATAATGAAAAAAATATTAAGATGAAATAAAAATAGGAAATACGTTGTAAGACGAAATACATACATAAATACTCGTTGTTAACTCCAAATAGTTTGTTCGTGATAATTGAAATTAAAGGCTTCTTCTCTTCACTTGATCTGAATGATTCTACTCTGATTGAAATAAGTTCTGATCTGATTTAATATAATCTTGTCTGATCTGATCTAAATATATTTATATTTAAAATTATTTCTATTCTGAATTTATATCAATAAGAAAAAGTATTAAGTAATCCTTTATATTGTATATAAATTTGAGAGTTGAATGCATAATAGCTTGACATGTGGCATAATATGAGGCATTTTAATTTGACTTAAAAAAATCAAACTAGATGTTAAATATATCAATTATTTAATATATTTAATATTATATATTATAATTATGGTTGTTACCTATTATAGCTAGAGTTATTATTATATAATATTACCTTATATAATTAGTCATTAATGTGGAGGATTCTAGAATATATTCCTCCACCTATAAATACATACTTTGTATTCCTATTCTATTCATTCATGAAATAAAGCATTGTTTGTTATTTTACATGATATCGGAGCCACTGTTCTTGGTGACCTAAATTTCTCCGCTTTCGCCTCTGGCGGGCGGTACCACCATTAACCGCCGCCCGCCGGAACACTATTTTCCTCTTACCCAAATTCTTCCATTATACAAAAAAAATATCTGTTATAGTCACCAGCGTCTCTAACGTCATCCTCTTCTCCTAATCGCCGTAGCTCTGACCGGCGACCCCTACTCCACCAAACTACTGGTCTCTCCTGGCGCCAAGATCGCACCTATTCACTACTTTGCCTTTGAAAGGGGTGTCCTTGGTGTCATCGGTGTTCTAGGGACTATCAAGATGCCTTATCCCTCTAGAGCCTCTGTTTTGGCTCATTGATCAGAAATCCTTCTCCTCCAATCACCATTCAATCCCTATTTTTTTCGTTCTCTCACAACTCATATCATCACCTCAACCTGCTTCGTGGGTAGATCTTCGGTCAACATGCATCTCCGGCAGTGATTCCTTGTGTTTCTTCTCTAACACAGTCGCGCACGACTCCAGCGCGCGTCAACCTTCTCCCTCTTTTGACGTCAGCAGCATGAGTCTGTTCGCAGCGGCTTTTCTCCTCTCCTCATCAACGCCTTCACATCTCTTTCCTGACAATCTTTCTTCTTCTCTTCTAGGCCGGATGCATTCAGTTTACTCTAGCCGAAGATATGCCTCTAGCTTCTGATTACAATTATGGTCACGATTCAAGTAAAGTTGGCGTTCAATCTTCACCGTTCAGGACGTTGGGAGCATGTTAAATATATCAATTATTTAATATATTTAATATTATATATTATAATTATGGTTGTTACCTATTATAGCTAGAGTTATTATTATATAATTAGTCATTAATGTGGAGATTCTAGAATATATTCCTCCACCTATAAATACATACTTTGTATTCCTATTCTATTCATTCATGAAATAAAGCATTGTTTGTTATTTTACACTAGACAAATGAACTAAGACAAAAGAGTATTATGTATACTTCGTGATCGGTATTACTCCGTATTTTACAAATTCTAAGCCAATTGAAAAGTCTAACTTGGCCAAAGGAAGATGTTTGTCACTACTGGAAGCAAATGATTAAGGTACGTGATTTTTTTAAAAACATGTCACTTACCGGAGAGTATAGGATTAAAGAAGGCTATAATTGGCAAATGAAGGAAGCTCAGGAGGTG